TGGCCCCATTGCTGACAATAAGGTAGTGGGCCTGGGGTTGTTTCTGCATCTTCCCTTCTGATCCATTGGTTGCATCTGGGGGAAGAGCACCCTGCTCTGTTATCTGAGCAGCCCACCAGATCATAACTCAGCCCTCGATAGTGGGCCCGGACTGCACAACCATTTGGAGCTCAGCAGCCAAAGTTGTCAGTTCCTGTAGAAAGGTCCCCTCCTGTCCAGAATCTTTGTTGACCCTGGAGGGCCAGGGTCAAAATATTGGCAGTTGGGCCAGGGGTTTCGCTCAGTGGTGCCGCTGCCTGTCTCGAAAGCGGAAGGTACCAAGTTCGATCCCTGAAGCATTTTACTCCTTCAGCTTCACATGTTTTAGAGCTTCCATGATTGTTCAAAATGACCTTTTCAATGTGAGAGAAAGACAGCCGCCATGTCTCTCCTGCACTTGGAGAAATCCATCCTGAGGGGCTGTGAGGAGCGCGTAGCTCGGGTGTCGGATTCCGAGCCCCTCTCCCTGCGCCGCGTCCTTCGGCTCCGGGGACCCCCCCCCCCACGCCGCCCCGTGGGTCCAGCTCGCTCCTCCGTGGGGCCTGGGGCTTGGGAGGCAGGCAGGGGCAGCCCGAGAAGCAGCCCACGACTGTCCTCGGGCACCAGGCCTGACTGCAGCCCCGTGCTCCCCCACGGTCCAGGATCCACCCGACTGAACGGTCACAGCCATGTCTCCGGGACTGGGGGGGGGGGGCTAAAATAATTCTCTTATAATTTTGTGTTTGAAAGCAAAAAATAGATCTTTCTGGGAAGAAAACATTTAAAATTAAAATAGTAATCAGATTTGTCTACAAACATAATGCCTCTAGAGTAAGCACAGAAGCTTAGACTATGATTAAAGATAAACAATGGAGAGTTTCTTTTAAAAAATCAGACAGGGGTGGGGGTTGGGGGGGATTTAGCTCCGTGGTGCCATGGCACCTGCCTGGAAAGCCCAAGGTTCTGAGTTAGGTCCCAGGTACAGGGAGGGGGATCAGACTGGGCAAATTTATCATGTAAAAATCTTTCATTTACTTCTAAAAAAGTAATCATTTTTTAGTATATACATTTAGAGAAACTGAGTTTAGTATAAACATTTGGATAAACTGAGTTGCTTCTGTGAATAAACACATGTGAAGAAATAAAAAACTCATTGCCATTTACTTATTATATCCCTTAGTGGTTATAAATCAATAAAATATCTTTATTGAAGCAAGCACATGATTAGCATTTATGACAGAAGGAAATGTTAGCTGTTTTTTCCAGAAAGAGACCAATGCTGGAGTCTTTGGGTAATAAGTTCACAGTAAAATGTTAACTCAGTTCCACTGGCAGTCATAGAGAATGACTAGATGTTCGGGATGTGCAAAAATTTATTTTATTTATACTCATATAAATGGAAAATTAATGTCTAATGTTTTAAAAAATTTCTCCTGGTTTTAAATTTTCTGGCTTATATAAAACCTTACCTCAAAATACACACTTAAATCTCATGTCAGAAATGCACAGAAAAAAATGACTTCCAAAATATATCATACAGTTATTATCCTTTGACAGGATAAATTTTGTTTTATTCTCTACACTTAGCTATATTATTATAATTTTTTTTTTTTTGGTACTAGGGACCAAACTTGGGACCTTACGCTTGCGAGGCAGACGGCGGCACCACTGAGCTAGATCCCCAGCCCTTATATTATTATTTTTAAAGGGGTTATTTATACATTTGAAGTAGTGGAGACAGTCAATTTCCAAGGGTATTAACTTAGGAATAAAGTAAGTTTTATTTCACACAACCACATTTCATAACCATTCATTGTAAATACTGCAACATAAGCTAATATAGTTTACAATTAATGTCTTTCATAATTAATATGTAACTTTTAAATGGACATATCATGTAAAGGCATAAAATTGAAAATGAAATCAATTTAAAAATACAGACACAAATATGACAAGAAAAAAGTCGAAAAGCACTATTAAGGGCCTTAAAACTCTAACAGAGTCAAAGAAGACAAAGCTAACATTTATTAATAGTACCAACTTTATCCCATGTACCCTTCCAGGCAAGTTTTCTATATTATCAATTTAATTCATCCTGTGAAAAACCTACAGAAAAAATGGATTATATTCATTTTGTAGAAGGGAAGAGGTTCAGAGAGGTTAAGCTAGATCCTACAGCTAGTAAGTCACAAATCTAAAATTCAAACATAAGTCTTTCTAATTCTAGAACCAATCCTGTGAACCTCCTCACTTCAGCACCTGGGTCCTCAGAAGCAATAAAAGATTAAAGAGTTCTAAATGAGTCATAAAAAGGCAAGTTCCCTTGAGACAGACAACACATTTAACAAGTCAATTTAATATTTGGGGGAATGAAGTAATAATTGTAATTACTATAAACATTGACTATTTAGCTTGATTTAGAAAACATTCTTATGCAGCAGTGATAGGGATGACAAAAACTATTCAGTAAAGCTAATGGTGGAGGTTTTAAGCTGAAAATGTTCAAACGCAGGTTGTTACAGAGTTGGGGAGGTAAGAAAGTTAGCTAACTTTTTCCCAGAAAATCTACTTCCTGTCCAATTTTTCCACTATTGGCCAACATTTGCACTATTTGTAAGAGTAACTCTCGGTTTCACAATTTCCATGGACTTTTAACTTGTCCCATTGCTACTGAACACTGCCACAGTGAAAGACAGGCAGAGGGGCCAGTACTAGATCCATTACTTAACTTCTCAGATCTGTAAGTGGGACAGTTAGTTCTGCTTCAGATGATTGACATGGGACTGAATGTGATTTAAAAATATTTTCTAAATATTCTTTTGAGGGTTGACGAAGTCCAGAATTGGTCCCTCTCTACCTGAGTTCAATAGTAAACTCAAACGAAGAAATCATTTTCATCTTAAAACATGTAAATAAAATGGTGGCTTACATAATGCCATGTTTTGCTTAGAAAAAAATACATTTAGTAAATTTACTTCTGTTCTTTGTAAGAAAACAATCTAGTTGAATATTTTCTACAATTTTAGGGTTTCAAAGTATTAATACACTAGACATAATACAATTACTCTATCAACTATAGTTAAAGTTTGTCATGGTCAATAACTATTTTTGCTTGGAAATTTTGCTTCTAGTCCATCCTCGAGTAAGAATATAATGTTATGGGGGCATTTTTTCTTTTCTTAGTTGTTAACTACTATTTTCTTTTAATTTACTCATGCCCTGTATTTACTGTTGAATTTGTTGAGCTATGCTGTATAAAATTTTATTTCCTTTATGGAAAAACCTACGTCAGATGACATAAAAACCCCAAATGGCCTATGGTAGACTCACTAAAACCAAACAAAATGTTATTATAGACAAGATGAGTGATCTGGCTAGACCAAGGAATCTGTTTCTCAATGTCATCAGGGTATATAAGAAAGTAAGATTTCCCTCCAAGAGGTTAGCCTTCTGAGATGTGGCATTTACTCCAAACATTTCTAACATATAATCTCTCCTAATTTTCTTCCATTTTTCCATTTTCTACAAAATTCCTATCACCTCATACCAACTTATGATATTACAACATAACATTCCAACAGATATTACAACATAAAAACACAACATATGTATGTCTGCATGTATGTGTATTTGTTTATTCTTAAGGACTGCTTTTGGCTGGACGGATGGAGATTTATACTGACAAAGTGAATTCAAATTCATTTTACAATTACTTAGTGCATACTACATAAAAACACTTCTTTAGAAACCAATTAATAAAAAATTTAATTATATTTACAAGTTTCCTTTTTCAATTCAAGGACAGCAGTTAGGAATACATTATTATCTGGTGGGTAAGCTTCTAAAAATTCTTTGGTTCAGGTCCATGATTAAGATCTTTTCAAGCTATTTTTCTCTCTCTCCTTTTTTTTTTTTTTTGGTACCAGAGATCGAACTCAGGACCTTGCGCTTGTGAGGCAGGCAGTGGCACCACTGAGCTAAATCCCTGGCCCTCTCGTTATTTCTTTAGAAACATCTTCCCTCAACTATTACAATGAGCTCTTTGGAGCAACTCCTGATGGAGAAAAAGCAAAAAATGAGGAGTGTAATTTTCTTTTCATTTCAAACAAGGAAGAGGGTTGGTGGCAGTTGTTTGGATTCCAGGTTAAATATTTTATCTTTATGTTCAAACTATAGCTTATATCATAGACTAAAATGGCTGATAAAATTTCTTCCTATTTTATTTGTATAAAACTACTCCACTCCTGTTTTAACAATAGTTCTACTATATCTAGATTCACTAACACAGGAATGTTCGTCCCATCCTTTTGTTTCTGCAGTCTTCACCTGAAGAATTCAATGTTTCAGCCAATTCATATTCAAATGTCCTTGTTCTATCATTTTTGTTGTGTTTGTTTCATCAATAGAAGTTCAAACTGCAGATGCACTATGAATATGTACAACACTCCTATTTTACTTTTCATTTCTTCACTAAAAAATATCCAGTAATTTCTTGGCCTTATCTAATTAGAAAAGCCATTAATTATATTGACTTTCATGAAAACACCTATTAGAGTTTATTTAAATAAATTTTAGGGTTTTGTTTTGGTTTTAGTGGAAGGGGAATTATAGTTATTTTGGTTAAAAAGTAAAATAAATTAAAACCTCTAACAAATTACTAAGTTATGATTCTTTATATCTTAAGTTGATTTATATGGTAGAAATAAAAAGGAAATAATGCAGCTGGGCTTGGTGGCACACGCTTGTAATCCTAGCACTCGGGAGGCTGAGACAGGAAGATCACCCTAAGTTCACGATTGGCCTGGCCTACATAAGTGAGTTCAAGACCAACCTGAACTACACAGCTAAACCTTGTCTCAAAAAAAAGAAAATATGCAAACTAGGAAGCTCATTTAAACAAGGAAACCTCAAACTGAAATTAAATTTTAAAATACACTTTAGTAAGCATTACTTATAATACAATTTTTTGAAATTATACTTACAGGTAAATGAGTAAACACCTGAAAGATGCTTCTCAAAAAGTTAATTAGATCCATTAAATAACCACTAGCTCTTCCATCTGGCTCAGACAATGTCCAGTCATAATCAGCAAGCTGAATAAATTCATCTATTTTTTGATTAAGTTTTGTATATATTTCTCCTTCTGCTGCATGTCGAGCATCCTGATGGGAAAAAATAGCACAAACTATATTACAAAATATATTACAAATAAAACTGCAAAGCAGATAATAAAGCAAGTTTCTTAAATTCTACATTTTAATTTATGTTTTTCTTTGGTCTAATATTTTAGTCATTTATTCAAAGTCCAGGAAAATTGTTGAGGTTTTTTTGCTGGTACTACTCTTTTTATGTGGCTATATATCACATTCTTTCTTTCTTTCCCAACCTTACTACCATCCTTTTTAGCTTTTTGTGTTTGGACAGTTTACTAGATATTAATTCCCAACTTGTTCTCACAACTAATAAGACCAGTAAGAAAAACAGAAATGAGAAAACAAAAGTTATCAAGAACAAAGAAGATCATGCCTGCCCACTAAGTCACTAAGTGAAAGTAAGCTGGACTATCACAGAAAAAATGAAGCACTATCTCCATATCTGTGGGAGGTTCATTCCACAAATTGCTCTCCTTTCATGGATACAGAATTCTAAGACAGCTCAAGTTGCTTGTATTTAATGGTGTAGTAATAGCATATAACCCATACACACCCTCTTATATACTTTAAGCTGCTCTAAATTACTTATAATACCTAACACAATGCAAATGCCACATAGTCATTATTATACTGAATTGCTTAGTGATCAATAACAGGAAAAACTGTCTGTACATGTACAATACAGTTAAAAATTTTTTCCTAAAGATTTTTTTCCCCAAAGATTTTTTATGTGAGGTTGGTTGAGAAATGTAGAAGCCATAGAAAGAACCAACTATATAGTTGCTGATACTTTAAGATGTGGTAGGGGAAGGGAAAAGATAACTCCTCTAAAAAGAAATGACAGAAATGAAGTCAGCAAAAGTAGCAAAATAAGGATCTTCAAATATTTTCTCTTCCATAAAAGCAACAAGAAGACCATTTGAAAAATGGTCAAAATCAACTTTTTCAGAACTCTGGAAATTAATCCAAAACTTCACCAATCCAGGCAGCACTTAATCAAGAAAAACAGCTGAATCTTGGTATAAATATCAGCTAGACAGCATTTTACTCTGTCCTATTTCCATTTCCTGTCCCCCATTCCAGCTGCATGGTATTTTTGAAAATCAGTTATCTTGCAACTGTGGAGAAAACCAGCAGCCTACCAGATGCCAAAGGGGACAGAATAGAGTTGGAGCTTATTCAGAGCTACATTATTATTACTTGACCAATCTGGTGCTTTCCTGGAAGATCCCATCCCTAGAGATCTCTTTTTTTTTTTTTACCTAATCAGGGCTTGTACAATCCAAAATACCTTTTCCCATAGGCATTTGTCAAAAACAATTAAGAGTCAATTTTTATTCTCAGGAGGACACCTAAAGTAGTAGTTAAAAAAAAGAAAAAGAAAAATTGGGAAATTAGATGTCTGTAGGGGACTTTGAAAAGCTCTAACATATTCCTGGAAACCTAGAAAGCTATGTGAAGTGAAGGGCTGTATATATGATCAGAAAAGACCTGAGAAGGCTCTAAGCACTCATTTATGGCTGATCTTTAAATTCTGTGCAATCAGGAAGTTTAAAAACAAGCAAACTTCCTGTCTGAGTGTTTAAGGCATGCCTCAACATGCACACAGAGCCTCTTGGCAAAGACTGGGGGATTTAATGGTTCCAACCTTTTAAGGAAATCTGTGAGTAGTCATTAGCTGAACATTAAGCTAAACAAGCAGAGACTTCAGTGGCCATATGTGACAAAAATACAGATTTTAAGATTTAGTTCACTAGGGGCCGGGGATTTAGCTCAGTGGTTTCGTCGCCTGCTGCACAAGCGCAAGGACTTGAGTTCAACCCCTGGTACAAAAAAACCCACAAAAGATTTAGTTCACTAAAGTCACAAAACAACAAACAGGACAAACAATAAACTCAAGCAATAGGAAAGAATCTGATTCAAAGGTTTCTACACTATATTAATTTATTCATTAGTTTTTGAGACAAGGTCATGATTTTATAGTTCAGCCTGGACTTCAACTCACTATGTGTAACCCAGGAACTCAAGGTGACCCTCCTACCACAGCCTTCTGAGTAGTGGGATTACAAGGATGTGGCACACCACACCTGGCAAAATTTTATCATTTTAAATGTACAAGTTATGCAAACAAATAAGAATACATGACCCTTGTACAGGGAAAACAGTTAATTAATGAAAATGGTTCATGAGGAAGCCCAGATGCTGGACTTAATAGACAAAACTTCAAATAAACTATTTAAAATATGTTCAAAAAACACAAGGAAGTGGCCTCTAAAGGACCAAAAACAAAATTATGAGAACAATGCCTCACCAAATAGAGAACATATACAGAAATTATAAAAATGTACAATAAGTGAATCACATAGGTGAAAGAAATAGAAGACCTGATCAACGATATAAATCAACATATCTACAGAATGTTCTATTCAACAACAGCAAACCACACATTATTCCCAAATAGGATACACTCCAAAACAGAGCATATGTTAGGACATCAAACAAGACTTAAAAGGACTGAAGACATATCAAGCACTTTTTGTGACAGCAATGGAATGGAATAAAATCAGAAATCAAATTCACAACTATGTGGAAATTAAACAACAGATTGTTAAATTTTAAAAAATGATGCAAAGAAGAAATCTCGATAAAAATTTATAAGTACCATGAAATAAATACAAAACCACAGTAATCAACTTACATGCTATATATAACTTCAGCAATATTTTTATGCAAATTCATTACTAGACACACACACACATACATATATTATATATTATAAAAGAACAAAGTCCTAAAATTATTTACCTAAAATTTCACATGAAGAATCTCAAAAAGAAGAGTAATGGCAGGTTCTAACTCAGGCAACAGCACTCTAATAGAATGGTATTAGGGATGTGGATGGAGTGACAAGGTATTGTGGACTTTGGAAACAAAGCAAAAGAATCACATGTACTTGAAAAGGAAGCATCTAGAAAGTGAAAATTAGAAAGATTTCTACGCTTCCCTTAGGATTTTGGGGGCTGAACAAATCTCACAATTCTTTGTAGCACCTTGAAGAGGGTGAACAACTTGCCACCATGGCCACTACAGCTTGAGAGACAGATTTGATTTGATTTGAGTAACAAAGTAATAATTCTGGAAGAGTGAAAACCTATATATACTATTACTGTAAGACAGTCCTAGTAGCACTCACAATTATTATTCATATATTATACTCAAATACAATTTAACTCAATATACAATTTCTATCACAAATCTATGAATAAGAGCACTATAAAGACACTGGAATGAGTAAGACAGTTCCTAACCTCAAGGATTTCACAATCCAAGGAGAGATGCAATATAACAAAACACAAGTAATATTACTTTATAAGTTTTACATAGCATCCCAAGTAAACAAAGGAGAAAATAATTAGAACTTAATTTGATGTTATGCAAAGCTTTGTGGAAGTGATACTATTTGTGTTGGAACTTCAAAAATATCGTAAGAACTCTCACCAGGAATTTTGGTCTCTATGCCTTTAAAACTTTTTCAAAAGAATATCATACAATGGGAAACAGAGCATCCTGGGCAAGAGGAACATGGCAACACTTCTCTAAATAACATTGCAGGTCTTTAAATAAATTCAGTGGCTATAGAGGATTAGCAATGTTAGAATAAGACCAACAGCAAAATAAAGATTCTTTAAAAAAAAATAATAAAGCTTTGGGGATGTGGAATCAAGACACTTGGAAAACACCACCTTGGTGAAGAAAAAATTATTAGATCTCTGAAAACTGGGAGGGAGCTGACAGGAAAACTACAAACTACACAGAAGCTGGAGAATGGAGTACAACACAGAGAAAAGGATGAAATAGTCTGAAAAACTAACTCTGGCGACTGGGTAGGGAGACCTGTCTCTGCTAACACAAAGTAAGCCTGGAGAGGGTCAGCAGTTCCAGTTACAAACAACAGATCAAACTGGCAATGCTAGCCCTCCAAAAACCCCATAGTATCGTAAACTGCTAAAACAGCATGGGATTTTACACTTAAAGTGACTCCTTCTACATGGCAGGCTAAAGTTACAGAAGAAATAACAGTGTGGAACTTGCCATATTTGAGAACATTTAATTGGGAGCCATTTTGCAAAGAGGTTAAGACTGAGCTACAAAACAACTACACTTCCTGGTTCTGGGATCACCTTACCAACACAGACTGGTGGGAGATGGTCACATAAGGCAGTCACAGAGAGGGCACAAACCAGACATAGACCCCCCGAGAACTTTAAACTCAGGCCAAGAAGGACACAGGGGTCCCTCATTCCAAGGTGAGAAGTCTGATTTGTCATGAGCAGCTTTTGGAAGGGGCTGGGTCTGAAAGAATTATCATTAAGTTGAGTAACCCCTGCAGGGTTGCGGGGGGAACATCAAATGCAGAGCTCTGAGGTCTGTTTTCCTTATCCACCAATGTTATCAGAGATATGCCTCAGCTTGGACTGTTGCCTCAACCTAGGGTGCATGGGCACAGGAACATCTGGAGTGGAACTGGGGGCAACTCCCAAAACCACAGGTTATAAAGCTAGGTGGAGAAATCCACACCTTAAGGTGCACAGACGGATATGGAAACTGAGAGTGGCTGGGGTGACAGCCATTCTTACTGGACTAAGATGGAATCTAAGTTGTTTTTATTTGTATTTCTCTAATGACAAAAGATGCTGAAGATATTTTCATGTGTTTATTGGCCATTTGTACTTCTTTTGAGAACTATCTATTTATTTTAGTAGTTAATTTTTTGATTGGGTATTTTATTTTGTGGGGTGTAATTTTTTGAGTTCTTCATATAGTTTAGATATTAGTCCTCTATCCAAGGAATAGCTGGCAAAATTTTTCTCCCATTGTAAGTTGTCTCTTCAGTCTGTTGGTCGTTTCCTTTGCGGTGCAGAAGCTTTTTAATTGGGTATTATCCCATTTTCTGATCGTTGTGTTATATCGTGTACAATTGGGGCTCTGTTCATAAAGACCTTGCCTAT